GAATCAAAGGACGTATTGCATTAAGCAAATCTGCTGCACAAGACTTCTTTAAAGCACTGAAGAGCAAAGATGTCATTTCTGAGGACTCTGGTGTGCCTGATTCAAGCCATGTTATTTTCAATAACCTCATATGCATGTGAAAGTTGGACAGTGAATAAGAAATACCAAAGAAGAACTGAAGTATTTGGGTTCATGTGTTGGAGGAAAATATTAAAAGTTTCATGGACTGCCAAAAGAACAAAACAATCTGTGTTGAAAGAACAAAGCACCTGGAACTGATGGAATGCAAACTGAAATCTGATGGAAGCCAAAATGCTCCTTGGAAGCCAGGATGGCCAGACTTTATCTTTCATACATCAAGCATATTATCAGGAGGTATCAATCCTTGGAGAGTATATCATGTTTGGTAATGTGGAAGGTGGGAGAAAAAGAGGAAGACTCCCCAACAAGATGGATTGGTACAGTGCTGGCAGCAATGGACTCAGGTGTAACAATGATTGAGAGGTTGGCGAGGGATGACACCTAACAAAAACCATATATATATATATATTCCACTCTTCCTTCCATACCCATTCAGTATGTGTCTCTGTCTATGTATCTAACTTCAGAACATTGTTGTCCCAAGGTTGTGTATATAGCACTATTTCCCTCTATTTTTTTATTCCTTGTATACCTCTCTATGTTTTCACTTGTCTTCATCATTCAAGTGCCAACCTCTCTCTTCTTGTATATTGCCTTCCCTATTTCCCGATTTAACATGAGTCTTCCCTCTAGCCAGTGAACTACTTTCCCTTTCCTCCCACCCTTGGCAACCATCAAAGAATATTTCTTTTTTCTATTTATCTCTTTAAAACTCATATATTTGTAGGATATATAAATATATATCCCATTCTTCCTTCCTTATCCATTCAGTGTATTTCTCAATCCATGTATCTAAGTATACAACACTGTTGATCCAAGGTTGTGTATGTGTCACTATCTACAACTATCCCCATTAGCCTATGCATACTTCCCTTTTATTTTTACCTGTCCTCATTATTATTTTGCCTCCCCCCTTCATTGCCCTCCTGATTACGTGTCTACCATAGAACTACTGAATTATTAATTTCTTCCCAATTTTAACACAGTCTGTTCTATCTTAAATTCTACCTGACCTCCTTGGCACCTGTATTCTATAACTAGAATTTTCCCTCCCTTTGCTTTATATCTGTCCTCATAATAGATTCGCATCTCTGAGTCCTTATTTTCAAACAGACTGCTTTTATTACTAAGCTGTGTATTAAAATTTGAGATTGGGAAGTGAGAGGTCTCCTACTTTGTTGTTCTGTTTTAGTAATGCTTTGTTTACCTGTGACTCTTTCTTTTCCATATAAAGTTATTGATTAGTTTTTCCATGTCTTTAAGGAAAGATGTTAGAATCTGGAATGGGTTTGCATTATATCTACAGATTGCTTTGGGTGGTATGGACATTTTCACAATATTTAAGTCTTTTGACCATGAACGTGATATATTTACCCACTTCTGTAGGTCTCTTTTAGTTTCTTGAAGTAGTGTTTTGTAGTTTTCTTTGCATAGGTTTTTCATGTAAGGGTTAGACTTTTTGAAACAAATCAATAGCCCCTAAAAAGAGCCCTTATGAGGACATTTTCAGTCTTGGCACCTGACCAATCTGAGTAATATTTCAAAACTCAAATATTTAATAATGGCACTCATCTACAGATAGTATGGGCAAACTGTTAAAATGGTGTGGGAGCAAGGTCTGACATCCTCAAACTTCACAAGTGGGGAAGAGGATCAAGATCAACAACCCAACTTAATGCCTGTGAAACAGAGCTCCTTACATTTTAACCAATCTGACATGTCCCTCCCACAACACTCTGCTTCTCTGCTGGGTTCAATAATTTTTTGCAACAACCACACAGAACTCACAGACAATGCTCACAATTACGGGTTTTATTAGGGAAGTTGTTGTTAAATGTTGTTGAATCTGTTTTGACTCAACAGGATTTCTGAGAATCACAGTCCTTGTGGTTCACAGTCCAATGCTTACTCTATTGCACCATACCAGGAGTTCTATTAGGGAAGTAACAGGTTGAAATTCAGGTAAAAAATGACTCAGGGTACAGTTCTTCATTAAGACAGTCTCCTCTCAGCAGCAGTTCTCAAAGGCATGCCTATCGCTGACTTTCAGCCTCTCAGCTCCAAGGCCTCTTGGCCTCAGACCTGCAACATTGACCAATTCCACATTACTGTTGTTGTTGTTGTTGTTAAGTGCCGTTGAGTCCTTTTCAACTCATAGAGGCCCTGTTTTGTTAAGGTCTGGTGAGTTTTAACTTCCAGTCTTGCTGTTTAAACTGACCTTGTAGTCCAGTGTCTATCCTACAGCACATAACAAAGACCCCACCCCCACATGAATGTCATGCACCATATTTACAGCATTAGAACGATAGCCAACCCTCTTGGTGGGCCACAAGCACCTCACATTTGAAAAGCCCCTATTAGTCATTTGGTGGGACTTAAAAAGACTAACTAGAAGGGTCATTTTAAGTAATTCTCTGTACTATTTAAACCAAGATTATTTATAATGATAATAATTAGGGAAACGGGCTCTGAGAAGACATATGGTGATATGCTAAGAAGAAATATTATGATGTGCTTCTCACATGCTTTGAGGAAGTAATAAAAGGAAGTTGAGACCAGGTAAACACAATTATGCAACTTAGGGTGTGATTTCAGAAAACCAAAATCTACCTCTAAAGAAAATATCTTACTCCCAAGACTGAACCTCAAGGGAAATCCATGAGAAGGCATGTAAGCTTGCTGGTGACCATGTTGGTCTACTGCTAAGAAGAAGTGAGGGAAAAGCAGCAACGAAGGAATGGATGGAGTTTGACCAAATTACATAGTCCTCCAGAGCTGGTTGGCCTGAAGTGCAGTGTGACCTGGGGACTCCTGAGCCCATGGACAAGGACAGGGCCATGGAGGGCTAGAGCTGAGAGTAAAGCATCCAGTTGATATAAGTGAGGGGATATGCACAAGGGCGCCCAAACTTGCAGATAATGCCCATTGGATCTAGCTTCAATGACTGGATATTCAGAACCCAACTAGAGGAAGGAAAGGGGGGGAATTTTTTTTAAAGAAAACAAGTGTAAATTGCTACAATCTGATGAATTTCAGCTATATTTATGGATGTCATAGCTTAAAATACCAATCAAAAGGGAAAGGATCTTTACAGCAAGGATCATTCCCATCCCCTCTGTACACAGGGATGAAAGGGATGGGCAACTTAGACATTGTTGTTGTTAAGTGCCATTGAGTCAGTTCAGACCCATAGCAACTCTGTATAGGGTTTCCGAGGAGAAGCTGGTGTGCTTGAATCTCTGATCTTGCAGTTAAAATGGCTTTGCAGTCTGGTGCATTAAGGTACAGCGCCACACCAGGACTCCAACTTAGACATTCGATATCTAAAATGAGGGCAAGGGGAACTGTAAAGGCAGGAGTAACTGGCTTACAAATTTTCAAGAGGGAGTTTAAATTCAGAGTGTGCTGGGGAAGGTACAATCCCCACTGAATGTTTTTTATCCTTTCTAGATGGGTCTGGTGAAAGGAGATGGGGACAAGACTCATATGATTCATTAGTAAAAAACTGTTGTCATAATTAATTGTGATTGTTGCAACTGTAAAAGTAGGAGCTTTGTAGCAAAAGGGGAAGAGTGGTTGATCTTAGAGTCCCAGAGCAGAGGACCCTGGGACCATCAGGGGAGAAGAATGGAAATGGAATGTGGACCATACCCAGCAAAGCAGTGATGCCAGAGATGGCACAGAAATGATGACATGGAGCCATGGAGCAGCTCAGGACTCTAGCCTCATGGAGGGAGAAGGGATATGTGCTGGCGGCCGGGGAGCATGGGGCAGGCTTGCAGGGTATGCCCTTTGGCTGTTTGAATGATTGTATATTCCTGGGTATTTGGGTGCATATAAAAAAACAACAACAGAGGAAATAAAATCAAATACTGTTGAGTGTTAAAACATGTAGGAGAATGTAATCATTGCAAGGAAATGAATATGATTGTAAGCATTAAAATGAGATGA